TAAGATCATGGCATCTGGTCCCATCACCTCATGGCAAATAGATGGGGAAACAGTGGAAACACTGTCAGACTTTATTTTTGGGGGGCTCCAAAATCACTGCAGATGGTGACTGCAGCCATGAAATTAAAAGAGGCTTACTCCTTGGAAGGAAAGTTATGACCAACTTAGACAGCATATTAAAAAACAGAGACATTACTTTGCCAACAAAGGTCCGTCTAGTCAAGGCTATGGTTTTTCCAGGAGTTATGTATAGATGTGAGAGTTGGACTATAAAGAAAGCTGAGCACCAAAGAATTGATGCTTTTGAACTGTGGTGTTGGAGAAGACTCTTGAGAGTCCCCTGGACTGCAACGAGACCCAACCAGTCCATCCTAAAGGAGATCAGTCCTAGGTGTTCATTGGAAGGACTGATGTTGAAGCTGAAACTGGAATACTTTGGCCACCTGATGTGAAGAAATGACTCACTGGAAAAGACCCTGATGCTGGGAAAGATTGAAGGCAGGAGGAGAAGGGGTCAACAGAGGATGAGATGGTTGGATGGCATCACCGACTCAACGGACATGAGTTTGAGTAAACTCCGGGAGATGGTGAACAACAGGGAGGCCTGGTGTGCTGCAGTCCATGGGGTGGCAGAGAGTCAGACACGACTGAGCGATGGAACTGAACGGAAAATTCAGCTTTTATGGCCACGGGACTGAGATCCTGATATCCTTGCTGGCATTTGCCCTTAATTCTAAAGGCTTTCTCCCAGTCTTTGCACGCGGCCCTATATACCTCAGAGCCAGTAATGGCTTGTCAAATCCTTCTCAGGCTTGAAATCGCTGACTTTCTCTTCTGCCCTTAGCTGGGAGAAAGGTTTGCATTTAAGGGTTAACCTGACCTCACTGGGCCCACCTGAATAATCTATTAATAGTCATATTTACTGATTCCAGGAATTAAGGCATAGATACCCTTGGTGGATCTATTATTCTGTTTACCACACCATCTATTTCTCTTCAAACTGAATACTTGTTGAATTGTTTTGACACAATGTTATGCCTAGGGGATCCCATGAAACTAGAAATGAAACTTGCAGGTTACCCTAACTTGAGATGAGAAAATAACAGTTTAAAAGTACATACCTTTGACCTTACAACTACAAGTGAGGAACTGTTTTTTTTTTTTTACAGTGCAGAATGATAGTACTTTCCACGGTTCTTTATGAATTCCTATAGCCTGCTTTGGTTGTTTTAAATGAATAATTTTCTATTCAAAGCTGGAGGCACTTTATTCTCCATCTTATTTAGTTATCTGTATATTAAATTCATAATTATCAATTAAAATCTAATAAAATTAAAGATTGAACAATTCAAGTCTGGCATATTAAAAAAACTCACTGCCAGGGAGGACATAAATTTGGCAGTATGTATCAAAGATCTTAAAAAAGGTACATACCCTTTGTCCTAGCAACTCGTCTTCAAATAGCTTAGAGAAAAAACAAAATGAGGTAAAAATTTATCTACAATATTATTTTCCATAGCAACATTATTTAAACATTAAAAACATAGAAACAACTTAAACACTTGTACTAAATAATTCGTAAAGTCTTAAGAATGTCCACTGGTCTCATTGTTGTCCATTATCTTTTTGACAAAGGGTTTCATAAATCACTAATCTTGCTAACCTAGCCATGACCTATGGGAGCAGGAATCTGTGACAGAGTCAAGGACCACCTAACAGAAAGACAGTGATGAAAGGAGCCCACCAGATTCTTTCAGTGTAGAAGA